AGAAAATAAGGTCTACTAAATTAAACAAAAATTAAGTGATAATAGAAACTGTTGACCAAATAAATTCAAAATGCTCTTGGTAGACAAGTGTACATATTTCTGATTAGTCTAAGGTTACAACATAAATATTGCTATAATACAATGGCATCAAATTTTATTTAACATATTTTTGTTTATGGAATATTATTAGATTGTCATTTTTATAGGTCAAAAATAGATGAACATTGGCAATTTTATTGAGTTCAACTTTTTAATTACTTCTGAACAATATCTAACTCAATTAGAAACTTGGAAAAATACAATTCAGGAGCTATATATATATTCTAAAGTAAATGTATCAAGTCTGATACATATTCTCTACAGCTATTTGATATCTTCTTAACATATCTCAAATGGAGTGGTAATAGGGGTGCAGCAGATGTTTTCAGCAAAGAGCCATATTTCATGTATTTCAACTTTTCAATTCTATTGCAGCATATCAACAATACATGATGAATGGACATGGCCGTGTTGCAAACATTCTATTTACAGACACTGAGATTTCATGTGTTGTATGAAAACAGGCAGGGGAAGGCCAAATTTTACTTGTGGAACATAGTTTACCTAAAAATGTATATCTCAAAAGGCTACCCTACCATTATTTAACACTGATCAGGAGTGAAAAAGCAGATCTTTTGAACTTAAAGCCTCTACTTTAACAAAATATTTTACATTAAAACACAATCCTTAGGAATTTGTATATCCATTAGGCAAAATATCACCCCTTATGAAAGTTCCAAAAAATCATAAAAATTTTAAAAATCATATAATTCCAGAACTCTAACTCAACCACTGTTGTTCCAACATGATGCAATTCCCTACACATACAACTATTTATATTTTAGGAGTAATATCCAAAGCAAAGTTGTTATTAATTTTTAAATTTATTGAAAGTTAGGCCCGTGCCCCTGTGGTATTTATTGGAATAAAAAATAGTAAATCAAAGATTTATCGCAATTCTGTAAGCAATTATTTAAGAAACCATAAAAGACTAAATAATTAAAAGACATGTTTCAAGAAATGAATACAGGACTAAATCATTAAAAATAAATATGGTAAGAAAATAATAAACTAAGAGAATACACTTTACTTAGTATTATAATTTTTTTAAACTACATTGAGTCTATTTTTGATATTTGATCCTAAGTAAATAACCTAAAATAAAGTCATAAAATAATAAAGCACAGTTAGTCTAAATGACATATAGAATAGTGAAATATAAAGGAAGATACATTTTCTAGAAAACATAGGCAATATCTGAACTAAGTCTTTTTCTTTCTGAAGCTAAAGCAAGAAATAATTAGATTACAAATAAAAGGATAGAAAATATCACTCCAATAAAGCATACCCTATATAATACAATGAAATTGTGTACTACTTTTAAACTATTAAGAATTACAAAACATATTGCAGTAAGCATATTTTTCAAAGTAAAAGAAAATGTAAAGCTATATAAACTATAGATTATAGATACAAATTAACTCAAAATTTGAACTCTCCCTCTTTTTCTCTCCTCCTCTATCAGTCCTCCCTCCCTCCCTCCCTCCTTCCCTCTGTCTCTCCCTCTCTCCCTCCCTCCTTCCTTCCCTCCCTCCCTCCCTTCCTCCCTTCCTGATTGAAAATCAACTACCTGTCAAGAGAAATGCAAGGACACATTCTTCCAGAAAGTACCAACAAATTATGGCCAGTAAATCACATCACATCACAGCAGCAAAGTATATTAAAAGTGATATTCAAGGTGATAAAAGGAACAAATTAATATTGAGTAAAAAATTGCCCCATCTGTGGAGAGATCATTAAAGACAAGGACAACAATAACCTCCGAATTACCTTGATGTTAATTCTTCCAGGCCAAAGAAAACATTATGTCTGCCTTGGCTTCCCCTTGTTTACTTTTATTATGGCGAAAGGAAATTTTGGGGATGTGATATATGTGTTATTAAAGAAAATATTTATCCTCCAAAAACTGCTTAAAGGAATGATCAGCAACAATTATACTGTGCAATTTGTTCTTCAAACCAACCAGACTAATTACTTAATGAGATAGTTGTCCTAAATTAATTGAGAGTCTCTAATTACCCAGACAGAGATAAGCCCTGGCAATGTCTTTTATCTTCATCACAAACTAGGAATTACAAACCCCGTTATAATCCTCACCCAGCATTTAGATATAAGCATTAATGTTTTGGTGAATTCTTGAAACACTTAATAGAAGCACACGTCTACAAAGAATGTAAGAGAATGGCATTCAATGCATTTATAAAAGCACTGGCTGTGATTATGATATAATGCCGTAATTATAAATCCTGATATTTATTTTTAAAATCAGTTACATAAAAGTGGTTAGCATAACAGGATGTCTATTATTAAGCAGTGAAGAGATGATTGAACCAAGGACTTGGGTTTTATTCTCAGCCTCATAGCTAGTTTATTGTGCAACATAGTTGATTCATGCTCCAAGTCTCAGTTTTCTCATAGTGACTAAGTATAGTGACTGATCAGGACTTTAATTTTGGAAACTTATTTTATAAATCTGTGATAATGACTTCATACTTACCTTTGGATTTAAAGAAGTGTAAAATATTTTGACACCAATGATCTATTAAATCCTGAATGATTTTTTTGGAAAATATTTAGATTCTTCTAGTCTTAACTGCATTAACTGCATGTCTTATGCTAAAAGGAGAAATAGCATGGAGAATATCTTGTAATCTTGCACAGAGTAAAATATATTTCACTTTATTTTACAGGCAGCATTGTACTTGAAGAAGACAGGAAAATATACATATATATTCCTATCAAATAAATGATGAGACAAATAGCTAAATTTCACTTTTTTTCTTGTGATTATATTTTATGGTTTAAGTAACATTTTTACTATTTTTGAGAAAATAGATATAGAGCAAAATAGAACAAAATCAAAGGGGTACATATGATCATCAATTTTACACATTCTATACAATCAAACCATAGAGATACGGCCAAAGTATCTGTGGGATAGGAATGCCTCAGTTGACTATAGGGAAATGAGAGAAAAACAAAAGAAATCTGGGCTGCTCCAAATAATGTTTAAGATAAAATGTTTAACTTTTCTATAAATTTTACACTGTAATTGACATTTACATTTATGCTATAGGAGTTTAGAGTCTAGAGAAACTGACGACAAATGTGAAAAGTCAGGGAGGAATACAGAAATAGGAAATGGAAACTAGTTTTGAGTTAAACTTTAAAAAATGAAAACAAATTGGAGACTTGCAAGGTAAAGAGGGTCCCATTCTAAGAAAATAAACATTGCGAGCAAAGCCCCAGAAATGGAAATATTTGTGAGACGAGGAAATTAATCTGAACAGAGTGAGGAGTTATCAGAGAGAATTTAAAGTTAAGAATACATTGACAAAAAGTTAGATTATAGAAGGCCCTGAAAGTCAGCCAAGGGAGATGACGCTTTTCCTAACAATAATGAAAAATTATGAAATTTTTGAATAGGGCAGTGACATGATTAAAATACTTTTTGAAAAGGTTATTTTTCAGCAAGGAGCTGAAAAGATAAGAAGGGTAGTGGAAGTAGAAAAGTCACATAGGATACTTTGAAATTCAGATTGATCATTGTGCATTTCTTTACAAAATATGAACTAAAGAGCTGTGAATCCAGGAAGAGTTAAATATAGTACAGAAATGGATTTCACAATTAGATCTGTTGCCTAAGAGACTTCACCTATAAGTTTATACCCAAATGAATTTAGCATTCAAAGAAACAAAGCTAAATCTCATCCAAAGAGGATGTTTCAGATGCTCAAACAATTATCATGCAACATGATTAATTAGCATGTTTTTCTTTTTTTTTAGTAGAGACCTCTAAAATAAAGGTAGCTCAACAAAGTTAAGCCTTGACTGACAGTAACCAGTTCTATTAAATTTAAAAGAGAAATTTTTTTAAATAATAAAATCTGAGAAGTCTCAGATTATGAGAAACATTGTTTCTTCAGACTTTTTATGAATAGAAGAATGCTGAGATAATAAGATGCATTTTAAATCATTTTGAAAAGCAAATATATAAAGGTTAAAGGCCCAATGCTGTGTTTCACATTCAAATTACATTGATTTCACATGATAAAGCAGGTATGTATTTTTTAAGATAAAAAAGCTTATTGTGGATATAACTGATCTTCTGAAATATGGATTATTAAAAATGTGGTTCATTTTTTTGTGTGTCCAAGGTATGTATAATAGGCGATGATAGAGACACATTAGAAATACTTCCTAACTTATTGGAATAACAAAATATTAATACAGTAAGCAGTGTTTAAAAAAATAGCACAAACAGGGTTTTGGCTTCTGCATTTTGACTCCCAGGGAAAATGAAATAAAGCAAACCCACAAATTGCAAAACAGGACGTTCTAATAAAAGCAATAATAGCCCTTTAAATTTCTTGTTAGAATTTGACCAGCATTTTCTCTTAAAAATTTAGTTTTTGATTTATATTTAAATATTTTGAATATGCCAGAACTTGATCTTACAATTGAGAAAATAACTTTAAATGAATAGAATCTCGAATAGATACTTTCTTCCAGCATTTAATTATGCTACCACCACATATAGCTCAGAGATTTAAATAAATTGAGTTCAACACCTCTTAATGAGAATAAACAGCTCCTGTGAGCCTCAGTAAGCATATATTTAGATTCAAGCATTAATTTGTCCAAGATAACAAAACATACCAATAATTTGGTCATTATTATAGATAAGCCAAAATTTTCCTGAAGCAAAGCGAATTCCTGAAATCATACTGGAAGTCACCCAGAACTTACTTCTTCTAAAGCTCTGCTCCTTAACATGTTTTCTTGATATTTCTAAAGAGTTAAGCCAGTTATTGTTAGGGAATCATTTCAAAGCATTGATAGTTTAGACTGAGTTACATGTATCAATAAAAAACACCCAAAGAGAATAGAAAGACACTGACCTCATTCACTGTGGCATAGTAGCTCTCGTGCCTGAATGAGGGTGAGTTGTCATTCCTGTCTCTCACCACGATCCGGACTTCATGGTAGATAACAGTGCCCACCTTTTTGTTGATGCACTGGACTTGCACCACGATGGAGTGTATGTTCATTGGTGGCTAAAATACAGAAATTACATCTTTAAAAAAAAAATTGAAACTGAAGCTTTTCATTACTGTCAAAGCACTGGTTTGTTTCTTAAAATTTTTCTCATGCATGTTTATTTTTAAATGAGAATAGCTTACAAAAACATGATCTGTTGCGCTGTTTCGAGGATAAGAGAAGGCAACCATGATTACTTCATTTGTTGACCTTTGTGTCTCAAAATTTAGGGTCTCAGGGAGCATTATGTTTACAATTAGAGGACTGGTTATGAATACGGTCCTGAAATTAATTCTGAGATTGATGGAATGAAGCACCTTTTGCCCTCTGAAGCAAGGATATGAATTTCTAATGTATAAAAAGCAATGAGTTAGTGATAAAATCCTTGGGGAAAAGAGACTGCGTAACGTTTGTACTCATTTGTATTTTTGCCAAAATAGTATATGTTCATCATATCTGATAAAAAGTAAAATACAATCAAAAGAAAAGAATCCATTCATAATCCGACCACATTTATTAAATATATTCAAATGCTTATTTTGTTGATCTTTTCCTCCCTCCAAATATACACATATTACAAACATACACACACACACACACACACACACACACACACACACACACACGCACACACACACACAGAACATCATCCCATGTCTGTAAATCTAGCTTTATTATAGCATTTTGGTGTATACTACTGTGAAGCTTTGTGGTGTAACAGTATTCCATTATAAGTCTATAGCTTAATTTATCTATGTAAAAAATTATAATGAGAAGTTTTTTGTTGTCAGTTTTTGTGTTTGTAATAATACTACAATAAATACACTATAACTTTGCACTAACTTGCCTAATTTTTTAATTATAAATTCCTTGAAATCTGATAAATTCCTGAAAGGCATCATCAAAGGGACATAGATTTACTCAGGTCTCATGGCTAACAGCTTACGGAACTGGGATACACACCCATCTCTCTTTGACTCTAGAGTCAAAGTGTTTAACACTACAACTCATTTCTTTGTGATTCTAAAATCTGTCCAAGCTCATGAAATTTTCCATGTCATTTTAGCAGAATGACTTATTCTGATCAACCCATTTAAAATAAAAATACCATGCCTCCCGCCTGCTCTCTTCCTTTATTTCTCCCCTCCTGTTTTTTTTATAGTTACTCTCATGTACCACTTGGCATGTTACACATTTTATATATTTGTTTTAGTTTGTCTCCCTTCACTAGCCTGAAAGGTCCATAAGACCCGGAGTTATGTCTTGCTCCTGATTAACGCTCTCTTACTCCGTGATCAGCACAGTGCCTAGGTTAACTGCTTGGCTTCCAGTCTCAGTTCTGTAACCTACTAACTTTATGAACTAGAGGCAAAATCTCTCTGTGCTCAGTTTGTTCCCATAAAAGTGGAGATGATGATACTAAACACTGATATGATAGAATCATAATCATTACATGATTACTGTATGCTAGGCACATATTAACACATAATAGATATAAACTTTTGTTTACTTAAAGTTAAATGTTTTTAAGAAGTGAAATCCATGGAATATATAACATACAAACTGATAATCTTGGATTATAAAATAAATTACTGAATATTTACATTAAAACCTATTTAAAGTTAGAGCAATGACTATAGGAAGCTAGAATAGATTTATTAAAAATATCACATGCTGCATTTCTAAGTAAGAAGAATGTTCTAGAAACTATATCTAAAATTAAGGGAACAATGTTTAATCTCAAGGTATTGTTATAGCCAATAAAGAAAAACGCAGTTGAATTGATTTTTACCTTGACAAATAATTGTATCTGGAAGAATAAAATGAAGCATCATTAACATAAGGAGGAAGGTATCTATGAAGTCCTATATAGCTCTATGTTCTAATATCTGCCCTATTCCATTTTCAACTACTGACATAAATGAAGGCATTAAAGTCATGTATATAAACTCTCTTAATGTCACAAAGCTCGGAAGGATATATAATGTTTAATGACAAAAGGAAAGGCTCAAAATCATTTTAATAACTCAGAATAATAGGTTACAAATGATTTACATTGAAATTAATAAATTAAATTCACCTTATTTGTATTAGGAAAAAAGTTAATTACTCAAATCTAATAAATGGCTACAAACAGTAATGTAAAAACATAATTGTGAAATTTTATGAGTAAAAGGTGAGTCTACATGTGAACACTGTAAAGGGGCTGCTGGAACACTAATTCAAACTTCATATTCATTAATGTTATTAGATGCAGAGATAGGTAGATTATAATAAACACCATTTTATGGGGGAATAGGATGTGAAGTCTGAAAATTGGGAATTTGTTATTAAATTTGAGGATGTTTAAGCTGAAAACACAGTATTTGTCAGATATCTGAATGGTTGCTGAGAAAAGATCTATTAGTTTATTCCTTGTAGTCCCAGAGAGTAGAACAATGAATAAAAAGTATAACAAAGTGTATGTTTTCAATGTAAGTAGAGGTTTTCTATTAATTCAAAGTGGCACAAAATAGAATGGACTATCCTACAAAGCAAACCCCATCACAGAAAAATCTACAAAGGCTAAAAGAGCATCTGAGAAGGCTGTATCTTAGAAGTTTTCTGGAAATAATTTCAATTAGATGACTTCCATCTTTACCACTAGTTTTAAACTGTTTACTTTAATAGACTTTTTAAGGGAAGTCCTGCATATTTCAATTGAAAAGTAAAAAACAAAATAAATGCTTGTAGAATTAGCTTTTGGGACATCTCTTAGAGAAGACAATCATGTGAATTATGCTCTTCTAAAGTTATTTATCTTCTAAATAGTTCAGGAGAGACCTATAAAACCATTCTATCTCAACTTCTAATTTTATATTGAGTGGTAGCACGGGACAGAAAGGTAACAGCCTTTGCAAGAGGGGATCACTGTTTACTGTGCTAAGTGCCCATAACCTAGATATAACCAGGTCACCCCAAACTCTGGTCACTCTCAACTTTAGCTCTCTATGCAACTGCTAGTAGCATGGTAGTACTTAGCTTGCAATAAATTTCAACCATAATGATCACATTGAAGACAAGAATTCCCTTTGGCTGATACATAGCACACATTGTAATCTTACCTTGGAATAGATTCTCTTTTGCTGTATAAGAAGGTCATAAATACATCAAGTACATTTGTAAGTCTATTAGTGTGAGTTTAGGGATTTCAAAATGCCTAGGAATATGCTAGGGAAATTTTGGGTTATCTTTCATAACTGGTGGCAAAGATAAATCATGGCAATTTTATCTTCCCTAATTCTTTTAAATTGTGTCATTTATAAAACAGAAGAAAAAAAGCCGTGCATAAATTGCTTTGGGGTAATTATTTAAAAGAACAAGCATTCTGTATATACCTAGATGTGCTATTTTCCTAAATTAAAAATGAAAGTTTAACATAATGTTCTGAATGCATATTTGTATATTTATATGTTAGTGTATATGTGTGTATAGGTTTGATATGTGCATAGTTTAAGAATGATACATACTAACAGTTTATGGAGGTTATCTTTGAAAAGTGGGCTTCAAAGTAGAAAGTAAAGACAATTTTCAAACAAATATGTACTAATTTGGTAATTTGGAAAGAGACAAAAATACAAACTTTTGAATGACCTTTTTAAACAATCACCAAGGATTCAACATGCAAAGTTAAGTTTTTATAAGGAATTTACTAATGTGAACAGTGCCTATTATAGCACATATCTTCAATCTAAGGAGAATTGAGTTTTTTCCTAGAAAACATGTTATTGGAAGGCTTACTGATTTAGGGGGAAAGAAATTTTCAGAAAACCTGTAAAGAAACTGACTCTATTTTTCATTAAGCAATGTTTGTTCAATCCTCACAGGAATAAAAAGTTTTTGTCATGATTTTTCTTCTTACATTCTTATTACCTTTACAAAATGAAAAATCTTCATTATTTCACAAATAAACTGGAAAGCAGTGAAAAGAAAAAAAAAGACATAGTGTGTTGTAGAAATGATCTTTAAATAATGAAACAAACTTAAGGAAATGGCTAGCCAGAGTTATGACTGTCCTTCCTAAACTCAACTTTTATAATAAATGGTATATTTATAGAAGTAGCCTAAAGAAGAAAGTACCAATTTGGAAATATAATTAGGCATATGAAATATTTAGGTAAATTTGCAGATTTTTCATTATTAGTTATTAAGAACATTAAGCTTATTTAATTGTACTTATGTGCAAAGTTCAGTATGGATTGAGGTTAATACAATGTAGTCCTTACGCACTAAGCAAACCCTATAAAACTGATATGGGATGAACACAAGTAAAAATAATGCAAGTCAAAAAACAGTTTTGAAGGTTTTGGAGTTTACAGCAAGAAATTACATACCAGTGTTGTCATTCGAAAATATTTTATGAAGAGAGAAGCATTTAAAATATGTCCTAGTAATAGATAATAGTCAACTTTTTGCAAAGGATGAACGCAATTTCAAAGAATAGGCTAAGAAGAGCAGTAGGGGCTGCTCTCTCTCTCTCTTTCTGTCTCTCTGTCTCTTTGTCACTCTCTCTCTCTACCCCTCTGGAGCAGCCACTTTCTCTTTCAGATAATAAAATCTCTTGCGTGGAAAAAAAAAAAAAAGAGCATTAGGGAAGGTCTCATAAGAAAAAAACAAATAATTTGTTTCAGGAAGTGCAATTGCTTCAGTTTTCCTAGATTAGAGTCTATGTTTCTAATAAAAGGAAGTGAGTTAGAGCATAGCTAGGAAACCTCAAGGGCCAAATAAACCAGCTGAAACGAAAAGTCATCTGCTGACAAGGTCAGAACTGCTTTGGAGCACTGATCACAGAACAGGTTGAATTGTGAACTATGGTAAAGAGGACTGTTAGGATATAGTCACAAAGTCCAAGGGAGAACTAATACTGCTTGTACTGGAGTTATGCTGATGGATGCAAATGAAAGACACACTGTGGAGATAAAAGTAGGAAGCTTAGTAATTAAATGGATATGGCTTGAAAAGAGGACTCAAAGTTCTT